ATGGGGGATGAATTACTATAGGGGGGATGAATTACTATGGGGGGGATGAATTACTATAGGGGGGATGAATTACTATATGGGGGATGAATTACTATAGGGGGGATGAATTACTATGGGGGATGAATTACTATGGGGGATGAATTACTATATGGGGGATGAATTACTATATGGGGGATGTATTACTATGGGGGATGAATTACTATATGGGGATGAATTACTATGGGGGATGAATTACTATATGGGGGATGAATTACTATATGGGGGATGAATTACTTTGGGGGATGAATTACTATGGGGGATGAATTACTATATGGGGGATGAATTACTATATGGGGGATGTATTACTATGGGGGATGAATTACTATATGGGGGATGAATTTACTATGGGGGATGAATTACTATATGGGGGATGAATTACTATATGGGGGATGAATTACTTTGGGGGATGAATTACTATAGGGGGGATGAATTACTATAGGGGGGATGAATTACTATGGGGGATGAATTACTATAGGGGATGAATTTACTGGGGGATGAATTACTATATGGGGAATGAATTACTATATGGGGGATGAATTACTATGGGGGATGAATTACTATGGGGGATGAATTACTATATGGGGGATGAATTACTATGGGGGGATGAATTACTATATGGGGGATGAATTACTATATGGGGGATGAATTACTATGGGGGATGAATTACTATGGGGGGATGAATTACTATATGGGGGATGAATTACTATATGGGGGATGAATTACTATGGGGGATGAATTACTATATGGGGGATGAATTACTACCGGGGGGATGAAAAACTATATGGGGGATGAATTACTATGGGGGATGAATTACTATAGGGGGGATGAATTACTATATGGGGGATGAATTACTATGGGGCTATGAATTATTATGGGGGATGAATTACTATATGGGGGATGAATTACTATGGGGGATGAATTACTATATGGGGGATGAATTACTATGGGGGATGAATTACTATATGGGGGATGAATTACTATATGGGGATGAATTACTATGGGGGATGAATTACTATATGGGGGATGAATTACTATATGGGGGATGAATTACTATGGGGGATGAATTACTATATGGGGGATGAATTACTATGGGGGATGAATTTTTTATATGGGGGATGAATTACTATATGGGGGATGAATTACTATGGGGTTTGAATTACTATAAACGGGGGATGAATTACTATATGGGGGATGAATTACTATGGGGGATGAATTACTATGGGGGTTTGAATTACTATATGGGGGATGAATTACTATGGGGGATGAATTACTATATGGGGGATGAATTACTATATGGGGGATGAATTACTATAAAAACTTATTGAAACTAAAAACAGTGTACCATCCTATGTATTTTCAGTTTTAAAAATGTGGCTCTCAAAATAAATTTCAATCGTGGTTTTGGCAAGATTTGGCTCAGTTGAAAAAAAAGGTTGCCCACCACTGGCCTAGGCAATCACAGTGGAAGTGGGAGCGGGTACCTGTCAAATTTGGGTACTCGCTCCCCCCCGGTGCCAATCCTAATGGGGAGCGGGCTACCAGTCTTTAAAGTGGAACTTCCCCTTTTGGGTGGAGCTCCGCTTTAGGTGGTAAAAACTGTAACTAAATAAAAATGTGTGTACATGCAGGCTCTTTATTGCAGAGTGGACATGCAATGTCACTTCTACAATAAAGTACACCTACCTGCATGTCCACAATCCTTTGAGGAATGTACATGGAACTGTCAAGACAACTGAAGACTGGCTCCTGGAAGAAGCTAAAAAAAAGATGGCGGCACCAGCAAGGGACTTCATGGGTGTTGGGCAATAGGGGAGTATTTTTGCCTTTACTTTAAGCCACGCCCAGTTTTTCTGCTCCCTCCTAGGGTGTCCTGGTCTTCCATTGTCCTAGTCATGCTCACTTGTTGTCACAATTTTTAGGCTCCGTTCACACTAGGGCATTTCAAATCGCAGCCGGAATCGCCACGATTTGAAACTGCAGTGTGAGGTGTGATCGCATGTCGAGGTGCCATTCATTTCAAAGGTACCTGAAACCACGGGGCGTTCTTGCCGTGATTGTGGCTCGGCTTAGCGCGCAACAAACGTGCAGTGCTCGCTAACAAAAACGTAGGATGCGCGATGCCCCAAAAAGGTTCAATTTTTGAGCGTTGCGCATCCTGCGAGGGAAAAATTGCCACGCAACGTGCTATTGTGAGTTTGAATGCTATTATCTATTACTGGCAACCCAAATGGGAGCAGAAGCGGCAGACTGAGCCTTTAACCACTTCCTGACCGCACTATAACTGAATGACGGCTACAACGCGGTCGTCCAGTTTTTGGGAGGCCGTCATATGATGTCCTCCCAGAACCGCACCCTCTGTGGTGTGCACCTGGCGCTCTCTGTGATCGCTGTATCCTTTGGACAGAGCTGGTCACATGACATAGTAAAGGGTCAATCACAGTAAATACAGTGTCACAGTGTGAGAAAAGAACTGCAAATAACCAGCAACTGTGAAAGGAGACATCTGCGCTGATAATCAAGGCACTGATTATCAGTGCTGCCAATCTGTGCCCAACAGTGCTGCCAGCCAGTATCACTGATCAGTGCCCATCATTGCTGCCTATCAATGCCCATCAGTGCCCATCATTGCTGCCTGTCAATTCCCATCATTGATGCCTATCAATGCCTCCTCATCAGTGCCCATCATTGCTGCCTTTCAATTCCCATCATTGCTGCCTATCAATGCCCATCATTGCTGCCTATCAATGCCCGTCATTGCAGCCTATGCATGCCCATCAGTGCCTCCTCATCAGTGTCCATCATTGCTGCCTATAAATGCCCATCAGTGCCCATCATTGCTGCCTTTCAATTCTCATCATTGTTGCCTTTCAATTCCCATCATTGCTGCCTATCAATGCCCATCAGTGCCTCCTCATCAATGCCCATCATTGCTGCCTATCAGTGCCTGTCATTGCTGCCTATGAATGCCCATCAGTGCCTCCTCATCATTGTCCATCATTGCTGCCTATCAATGCCCATCAGTGCCTCCTCATCAGTGCCCATCATTGCTGCCTTTCAATTCCCATCATTGCTGCCTATCAATGCCCATCAGTGCCTCCTCATCAATGTCCATCATTGCTGCCTATCAGTGCCTGTCATTGCTGCCTATGAATGCCCATCAGTGCCTCCTCATCAGTGCCCATCATTGCTGCCTATCAGTGCCTGTCATTGCTGCCTATAAATGCCCATCAGTGCCTCCTCATCAGTGCCCATCATTGCTGCCTTTCAATTCCTATCATTGCTGCCTTTCAATTCCCATCATTGCTGCCTATCAACACCCATCATTGCTGCCTATCAATGTCCATCATTGCTGCCTATCAATTCCCATCATTGCTGCCTATCAATGCCCATCATTGCTGCCTATCAATGCCCATCAGTGTCCATCATTGCTGCCTATGAATGCCCATCAGTGCCTCCTCATCAGTGCCCATCATTGCTGCCTATCAATGCCCATCAGTGTCTCCTCATCAGTGCCCATCATTGCTGTGCCCATCATTGCTGCCTTTCAATTCCTATCATTGCTGCCTTTTAATTCCCATCATTGCTGCCTATCAATGCCCATCAGTGTCTCCTCATCAGTGCCCATCATTGCTGCCTATCAATGCCCATCATTGCTGCCTATCAATTCCCATCATTGCTGCCTATCAATGCCCATCATTGCTGCCTATCAATGCCCATCAGTGTCCATCATTGCTGCTTATGAATGCCCATCAGTGCCCATCATTGCTGCCTATCAATGCCCATCATTGCTGCCTTTCAATTCCTATCATTGCTGCCTTTCAATTCCTACCATTGCTGCCTATGAATGCCCATCAGTGCCTCCTCATCAGTGTCCATCAGTGCTGCCTGATCATTGCAGCCTCATCAACGCACATCAGTGGAGAAAAATGTACCTGTTTGCAAAATTTTATAATGAAAACGAAAACTTTACCAAAATTTTCGCTCTTTTTCATTTATAGAGCAAAAAATAAAGCCCCCAATGTTGGTGATTATCTGACCTTGGCTTGGTCTCAAGGGATCCCTGAAATTTCCACTTCTTAATGAGTGATTGAACAGTACTGATTGGCATATTCAAGGCTTTGGATATCTTTTTGCATTCTTTTCCATCTTTATAAAGCTCCATTACCTTGTTATGCAGGTCTTTTGACAGTTCTTTTCTGTTCCCCATGGCTCAGTATCTAGCCTGCTCAGTGCATCCATGTGAGAGCTAACAAACTCATCAATTATTTATACACTGACAGTAACTGCAATTTAAAAAGCCACAGATGTGGGAAATTAACATATTTGTGTGAAAAAATGATAAAAAACCCATATGGGTACAGTATCGCATGACCGCGCAAGTGCAATTCAAAGGGCGACAGCATGAAAGCTGGCCGGGGAAGGAAGGGGGTGGTATGCTTGTCACCCATGAAGGAGCAGGAGGTTTTTTTTTAAGGGGCAACAAATGTGCGCAGCATAGACAGCTTAGGGCACCCGGCAGCTCATGGAGTATTTGGCTACATCGCGGTTCCTTTTTCTGCACGTTGTTCTGGGAACGCATTTGTAAATGACGCAGCGAAGCGCGTAATTCGGCAGAACCAGGCACAGCCCGGTTTTGGACAGGGTCAGGCACTTGTTTTTTGGCCCATTGAAATGGATGGACACCAAACTCCAGCGCCAGCCTTGTCACAAGTCACTGTGAGAAGGATTTACATACAGCTCATAATATGGGCGGGGAATAACTTTGGCAAATTCTGATTAGCTAGTGTTTGGTTAGAAGAGGCGTGCCGAACGCGCTGATTGGCTCCCCGTCGCAAGGCAACAGAATCCCCACCTTCTGTTCGGCAGCCCGGTCTCTTAGCAACCAGACGCCGCTCTTCCCTCTAGTTGACACGGTTGCCATAGTGACGGATCCCATCCAGTGCAGTGAAGAGCCGTCCGCCATGTCCGCTCAGGTCCTCGTCTCCCGCCCGTCCGCCCCGCAGAGTGTCCCCGCTGACAGCCTGCCTCGCCGATCGGTGGAGGCGCCCTATAACACCGGGGAGAGCTCCTCGTCCGGACTGGCCACCGCCGGCTTCCGCACCGCCAAGTACCTCCTGGAGGAGTGGCAGCAGGCCGCCTACACGTCCTTCTACCAGGCGTTCGGTGACCGGGACAGCTCGGAGAAGAGCCGCCATGAGGCCAAGCAGCTGTCGGCGGAGCTGGAGGCCCGGGCACAGCGCAGCCAGGCGGACTCCACCAAGAGGCTGGGAGAGAGGCTGCTGGATGTCCACTACTGGAGGGCGGAGCTGGAGAGGGAGATCCGTGACGTCACCGCCGAGACACACCTCCTCTTGCAGTGCAAGAACCGCCTCCAGGGGGCACTGGACGCCACTGACATCCCCTACATCATCTCCACCGACAACCTGCACTGCCGGGAGCGCAGAGAGGGCGGGGAGCTAGTGCGGGACGGGCGGAGCTAGAGCTCATCAAGGTAACAGCTTATCAAAAATGGGCGGGGGTGGGGCTTATCAAGGGGTAGCGCTGGGGTGGAGAGCTTACCAACGAATAGTGGATGAGGGAGGAGCTCAACCAGAGGCAGGACTGAGTTTGGTGCTTACCAAGGCACAGTGGATGAGGGTGGGGCTTATCAAAGGACAGGGCTGGAGGTGGAGCTTTCAAAGGCATGGCGGATGAGGGTGGCGCTTATCAAGGGTAAGGGCTAGGGGTGGCGCCTATCAAGGATTAGGACTAGCGGGTGGAGCTTGCAAAGGAACAGTGAATGAGGGCACAGTTTATTAAGGAGGAGGGCTGGGGGTGGAGCTTACCTAGGCACAGTAGATGAGGGAGGAGCATATCGAGCAGGGCTGGAGGTGGCACTTATCGAGCATCAGGACTAGAAGTTGGAGCTTACCAAGGAACAGTGAATGAGGGTGGAGCTTATCAAGGGGGGAGGACTGAGGGTTGTGCTTACCCAGGCACAGCGAATGAGGGCAGGGCTTATCAACGGACAGGACTGGGGGTGGAGCTTTCTAAGACAGCAGATGAGGGTGGAGCTTATCCAGAATTAGGACTAGGGGTTGGAACTTACCAAGGCACAGTGGATGAAGGAGGAGCTTATCAAGAATCAGGGCTGGGGGTGGAGCTTACCAAGGAACAGTGAATGATGGAAGAGCTTATCAAGGGGCAGGACTGGTGGTGGAGATTACAAGGCACAATGGATGAGGGAGGAGCTTATCAAGGTGCAGGACTTGGGTGGAGCTTATCTAGCAGTGGATGATGGAGGTGCTTATGAAGGATCATGGCTGGAGGTGGAGGTTATCAAGAATCAGGACTAAGAGTTGGAGCTTACCAAGGAACAGTGAATGATCAAGGGTAGGGGAGGAGCTTATCAAGGGTAAGGGCTGGGGGTGGAGCTTATCAAGAATCGAGGCTAGGGGTTAGAGCTTACCAAGGCACAGCAGTTGAGGGAGGAGCTTATCAATGGACAGGTCTGGGGCTTATCAAAGCACAATGGAATAGGGTGAGGCTTATCAAGGATCAGGGCTGGGGGAGGAAAATATCAAGAATAAGGACTAGGGGTTGCCACTTACCAAGGAACAGTGGATGAGGATGGAGCTTATCAAGGGGAAGGACTGTGGGTGGAGCTTATTAAGACACCGTGCTGGAAGGAGATTATCAAGGGGCAGAATTGGGCGTAAAGTTAATCATTGTACATGGGATAAGGGAGTAATTTAGCAAGGGGGTGGAGCCTATCAAGGGCACGGACTGAGGGGCTTATCAAGGGGCAGAATTGGGGTACCATGGCACAACAGATGAGGGAGGAGCTCATCAAAAATCAGGCTTGGGGGTGGAGGTTATCAAGGCCCAACACTGGAGCTTGGTAGGACTTTTAGTGGGGCTTGCCAACACTCATCACTGTGGGAGGAGCTTATTAATGGGCAGGACTGAGGGTGGAGCTTATTAGGACACATCACTGAGGGTGGAGTTATATAATGGGCAGGACTTTTAGTGGGTGGCTCAACACTGTGGGATGAGCTTATATGGGCAGGACTGAGGGTGGAGCTTAAGGCATGGGGGAGGAGCATATTAAGATGACGATTTTCAAGCTACAGAGGTTAAGGAATAGCTTATGAAGGTAAATGAATGGGGGTGGAGCTTATCAAGGTACACGAGCAGGAGGAGGAGTTTAAAGAACAACTCTGTGTTCAGTGCTCCACCCACCCAGTACTGCCCCTGAAGGTCCTCGTATGGATTTTCTGCTTTTTGTCATTAAACATGTCATTAGTCCGGTCATGTGACTATACAGGCCACCTCTTCTTCTGCAGGATGGGTGGTCCTCAGTGATGACATCAGAACTGTTCTCTCCAAGATTGCACAGTTCATGTAGGCCCCTTGGTGATGCTCTCTTAGGCCCCCCTCACATCTGAGCAATTTGTAGCTCGCAGCTCCAAAACTCTCAGGGAGGAAAAAATCTATTATATTCAATGGAGATGGTTCACACCTGCACTCCAAGTCGCCTAAAGCCAAACGCCTGAAGATCAAGCCATTTCTCAAGCTTTTTTTGTTGCTGAAATCGAGCAGATTTGCTTGTCTTTGAGTGGTTTTAATTCCATAAAAATGAATGGAAACACGAATCACACGTTTTAGCACGCATTTCGGAGCATTTTTCTGTTCAAATGAAAAAAAAATAAAATAATAAGTGAATAAATAAATTAAATAAATACACAGATAAATAGAAATAATCATAAATAAAAAATAAACAAAACAATTAAATAGTATGTAATAATACATAATAATTAACCCCTAGCCTTAACCCCATATATATATATATATAGACAATAAATAAAATATTAACCCCCAACTTTAACTTCCAGCCATCACACCTAACTCTAACCTTTCACCCTAATGCTAACCCTAGCAAAAAATGAATACAAAATAAATAAGAGGAAGACAATAAATAAAATATTAACCCCTAACCCAAACCCTAACTCCAACGCCTAACTCCCAACCCTAATACCTAACCCTTAACCGTAAATGTGGCAGCTAACTCTAATCCTAACACCTAACCTTAACCCCTCTAATCCTAACACTTAACCTTTCCCCTATCCAATCCTAACACCTATTTACCCCTAACTCCAATAACACTTATTTCCCCTAACTCCAATCCTAACATTTCCCCTATAATCCTAACACCTAACCTTTATAACTCTAATAACACCTAATTTACCCTTAACCCCAAACTTAACCTTTCCCTCAATCCTAACACCTAAAACTAACACCTGACCTTTACCCCTAACTCCAATCCTACACTTAACTTTCCCCTAACTCCAATCCCTAACACTAACTTTCCCCTAATCCTAACACCTAACCTTTTTCCCCTAAAAAAAATAACCTTTACCCTAAAATCCTAACACCTAACCTTAAGAACCCTAACCCTATATATATAATATATTTAACCCCTAACCCAAACCCTAACTCCAACGCCTAACTCTAACTCCCAACCCTAATACCTAACCCCTTAACCGTAAATGTAACCACTAACTCTAATTCTAACACCTATCCTTTAACCTTAACGCTAACCCCTTACCATAAAAATAAATAATAATAATAAATTAAATAAATAAAAGTGAATGGAAAAAGATAAAAAAAACCTAACAACAAATGATGAAACAGATGCTATTTTTCTCTACTGGCTATTAAAAAAAAAAAAAATTTCAAAACCGCTGTACAAAAACACGCATACAAGCACACGGCAAAACGCCAGAAAAAACGCTAAAAAACATGATGCTCAGGTGTAAATTTAGCCTAAGGGAATGGGCCCATCATGTCCCACAATCACACATTGGCTACAGTCTTTTTGCTTGAGTGATGGTGAGCGTCACTCGACTCAGGTCTAGGACAAATAAAGGGGGTGAAGATTATATATAATATATATATATATATATATATCGTATCTCACAGAAGTGAGTACACCCCTCACATTTTTGTAAATATTGTATCTTCTTATAGCCTAGGCCATCTTTATGTAGAGCAACAATTCTTTTTTTCAGATCCTCAGAGAGTTCTTTGCCATGAGGTGCCATGTTGAACTTCCAGTGACCAGTATGAAAGAGTGAGAGCGTTAACACCAAATATAACACACCTGCTCCCCATTCACACACCTGAGACCTTGTAACACTAACAAGTCACATGACACCGGGGGAGGGAAAATGGCTAATTGGGCCCAATTTGGACCTTGTCACTTAGGGGTGGACTCACTTTTGTTGCCAGCGGTTTAGACATGAATGGCTGTGTATTGAGTTTTTTTGAGGGGACAGCAAATTTACATGTTATACAAGCTGTACACTGACTACGTCACATTGTAGCAAAGTGTCATTTGTTCAGTGTTGTCACATGAAAAGAGAGAATCAAATATTTACAAAAATGTGAGGGGTGGACTCACTACTGTGAGATAATATATATATATATACTATATATATATATATACATACATACATTGTATACAGTCTGGGGGAAGGGTGGACTCACTTCTGGGAGATATTGTATATTTATATTATATATATATACATACATACATTGTATACAGTCTTGGGGAAGGTGGGAGATACTGTATATTTCCATTGAAGGGTGCACTTACATATCAGAGCAGACCTCCTAGGTACATTGCACACCATAAACCAAGATGGCCGTACACATTAGCATGCTGTTACTCATGACACCGCCTTTGATATGAATTCTGGCAATAACCTACGTTTCCTCTCTCTCCTAGGAAGTGGATCTGATTAGAAACATTCAAGAACTTCTGAAGAGGACCCTGGAGCAAACCATCCAGCAGATAAGGTAGAGCGGGTAGTGGGAGGCCTCTGGCAGAGAGGCACCCATGGGCCAGTTAGCAGGTGGGGGATGGGTGATTCAGAAGATAAGGAATGGCAGATAGTGGAACAAACCACCCACAAGGAATAGATAATAATGATGCAAACCATCCAGCAGATAAGGTGTAGATTATAATGGCGGATTCCATCCATCAAATAAAATTTAGCAGATATTCACTGACATCACTCTCGTCATTGCTTCATTTTTTTTTTTTCAGATAAAACAACAAAGTTTAGTTTAATATATTATTTATTTGGAAGGAAATACATTGCACACATAACATCACAGAAAAGAGCAGAATGGATAGAAAGTGTTTTTACATTTGCAGGATCATAAGACTGCAATGACAGCCTGTAGCTGGCTGTACACAGGGGTGTCCCTAGGTTGGTGTCCCCCGGTGCGAATAATACTTGGTGTCACCCCCTCTGATGATCACCGTAGGATGGATCGGATTTGCGGAATGAGTATAATGGATCAGAGTCCAATCCATTATGCTCAATCCGCAGATCCGATCCATCCTGCGGGGATCGTCAGGCTTGCTTTACAACTTACCTTTTTGTGGAGCAGGTCCGTTGTCACCCCATATAGGTTGCAATGCTGCCGATCCCTGCAGGATGGATTGGATCTGTGGATGGAGCATAATGGATCAGAGTCCGACCAACTATCCTCCCCAATCCGCAGATCCAAACCATCCTGCGGGGATCGTCGGCATGCAACCTATATGGGGTGACACCGGACCTGCTCCATGAAAAGGTAAGTTGTAAAGCAAGCCGATAATCCCCGCAGGATGGATCGGATCTGTGGATTGGGGAGCACAATGGATCAGACTCCGATCCATTATGCTCAATCCGCAGATCAGATCCATCCTGCGGGGAACATCGGCTTGCTTTACAACTTACCTTTTCGTGGAGCGGATCCGGTGTCACCATGTGCGGTAGGTGTCACCCGGTGCGGCGCACACCCCCCGCACCTGCCTAGGGACGCCACTGGCTGTACATATTACAGCCTTAGGCATGTATCTACCCAAAAAAAAAAAATACAAATGCATAGCTATTTATCCAGTGAAACTGCTAATACATTCATTGTGTATGAAGGGGGCAAAATTTAATGTCCTCAGGCTATTTCCTCTACAGGTCGAATGTTGTTCATTCGCAAAACAAAAACCCCCACTGTCCTTCGGGAAAATATCACATTGTGGCCACTAGATGGAGCCAAAGATTATAGAAAACTACAATGACATTTATAGATATATTTCTATAGCTGGTTGTACACATTACAGCCCTAGTCGTGTATTTAAACTAAAAATAAAATGGATAACTATTCATCCAGAAAAACTGCTAATACATTTGTTCTGTATGAATGGGGACAAAATTGGGGACAAAATTGAATGTTCTCAGGCTATTTCCTCTACAGGTCGAATGTTATTCATTCACACAAAGCACAGTGGTTTGGGACTGCATTGTGGCCACTAGATGGAGCTGAAGATGATACCAAACTGCAATGACACTGATAGATATATGTATAAAATAAATGTGATTGTGTAATCAACATCTTTCATATCGCGCCAAATGCAAATTATATGTAAAGGAGCTGCCCCTTATATAAATCCCCAAAAAATTCTGTAAAAATGAAAACACCAAATTAATGAAGTGTTTAAAGTGGCGCTGAATAAAATAATCAATAATGAATACAATGATGAATGATGAAAAAATATATCCTGAATACCCATAAAACTCAATAGTGATAACACAAGTATATAAACAGTCTGTGATTACTGTAAAAAGCAAAACAAACATAATAACATAACATGGACTGTCCATCACTTTTTATGTTTGTATTGCTTTTTACAGTAATCACAGACTGTTTATATACTTGTGTTATCACTATTGAGTTTTATGGGTATTCACGATATATATATTATTTTTTTCATCATTATATTCATTATTGATTATTTATTTAGCGCCACTTTAAATGCTTTATTAATTTGCTGTTTTAATTTTTAACGACTTATAGATATATGTCTATAGCTGGTTGTACACATACAAATAAACTTATAATATATGATGTAGGATTCTGAGAGCACTATGGGTTAGCTGAAGAGCAGGAACAGCAAATGCAGCCTGCTTAGAGGCACTTGTTCTCTGATTGAAAACTCTGAAATAGGGCTTTCTAATACGGGACAAGTCACCCATCTAACGGACCCTTTTTTATTTGTTTTTGATCAAAGAAGCAATAAGGGGGGAAGGTCAGGCCTCGTTCAAATGGGTGTACTGAGGTGCACACCTGTGTGAGTGTTGTGATTGCCCACATGGAAATGCACAGGCGTTCCGTTCATCCCTGTGCAGGCAGTCCCATTCATTTCAGTTGGGACACAGTGGCTGCATGGACCCAGCCGTTGCATCCGATTTGACTGGTGTGGGTGCACGGGCCCATACTGTCTGCGTTTAGGGATCCACGCCCACATGGCTGTCAGATTGGGAGCAGCGGCTGTGTCAGTGCATCCCCTGTGTCCCAACTGACATAAATGAGTGCATCCCCTGTGTCAGTCCTGGTCACCTGCCACCATCTAGTGTCGGCTGCTGGCTTTCATAGGGGAGAATATTTATTACAGTTGACCTTCAACCTTTGTCTAATGTTCCTTTCCCCTGCCTGTCCCTCCCCCCTCCTTAAAACACAGTTTTTTCAAGTAAAATATTTTGCCCCCCCAAAGTTCAGGTTAGCATTCTTGCCTAGCTGAGGATGACGTACCCAGATCCTGCACATGAACAGGAACACTAGGGTCGGGAAAATTCTTTGTTGTGGTCACTAGATGGAGCTGGAGGTTATAGAAAATTGATGTTTATTTCCGATGATCTCCAATAACATCTAGTGGCCATAATGTGGTGTTTTCTCAAACTACTTTTTTTTTTAAAGCAGAAGTATGAAATAGACTAAATAATTAACAAATATTACCATAATCATGAATCAGCTGTTATTTCTTTCCTCTTGTCTTTTGTTTTTCCAGCAGCAGCACTTCATCTGTCATGTAGGTCCATTTGCCTTTCAAAAGTGTAGAGAGGGCGGTTGCAACTTCTTAGATCTACCCTCTATTTCTGTCCCTCCTCCAGTGGGAGATGTGGCCAGTGAAGAAGTTCAGGCACTGCTACTCCTTTGCATAAAAGTGGAAAATAAATAAGTGGCATGGACATGGCCGAATCTAGGGGGATTTCAGTTGTGCCCCACATCCTGCATGGATGCTGTGTCCATTGAGCTCCTTCTCACATCTCCATAATCCACACATTTTGGCCAAAGGCAGCACAGCTCCTCTTCCCCTCCTTCACCTCATTCCTTCTCTCACAAAGCACAGATCAATTTTCTTACAGAAATCCTCTATCTGCACACTGTGTAGCTGCCTACTAGGCTGCTGCTCTGACTTGTGAAGTTCCCAGATAAGAATGGCTGTGCAGTACAGCATCCAGCTACACAGTGTGCAGCTAGAGGCTGTTTGTAAGAGAATCAATCTGTGTAAGAGAAGAAGAATGGGAGAGGAGATGGAGAAGAGCTGTGCTGTGTGAAGTCTTGGGAGCGAGCAGACAGCCCAGAGCCAACATCATTCAGATGAGAAGGAAATTGGGTGAATCAGCTGTTATTTCTTTCCTTTTGTCTTTTGTTTTTCTAGTAGCAGCACTTCATCTGTCATGTAGGTCTCAGTAATGATCCATTTGCCTTTCAAAAGTGTAGAGGGGGCGGTTGCAACTTCAGAAATCTACCGTCTATTTATGTCCCTCCTCCACTGGGAGATGTGGCCATACTTACTGAACGGGCACACACCCGAACAGTGAAGAAGTTCAGGCACTGCTATTCCTTTGCATAAAAGTGGAAAATCCTCCATGGATGCTGTTTCCATTGAGCTCCTTCTCACATCTCTATATGCTACACATTCTGGGCAAAGGCAGCACAGCTCCTCTACCCCTCCTTTCTTCTCTCACACAGCACAGACCAATTTTCTTACAGAAATCCTCTATTTGCACACTATGTAGCTGCTTACTAGGCTGCAGCTCTGACTTGTGAAGTTCCCAGATAAGAGTGGCTGTGCAGCATATCATCCAGCTACACAGTGTGCAGCTAGAGGCTGTTTGTAAAAGAATTGATGTGTGTGCTGTGTAAGAGAAGAAGAAAGGAGGAGGAGATAGAGATGAGCTGTGCGGTGTGAAGTCTCGAGCAGACAACCCAGAGCCAACATCAATCAGATGAGAAGGAAAGAGGGTGAATCCCGACAAGATCGTCGACATAAGAATCCAGAGAAGACTGTAGCTCTTCCCGCAGGTAATTACCTTGATTTTAACAAAAAGGGTGCACTTCTCAGAGGGCTGAAAAGATTTTTATGCATTAGCAGCTCACAAACAATTGGATTAAGATATAAAGGTAAACCCATACTTCTCTTTTAATGAATAATATTCAACCTGTAGAGGAAATAGCCTAAGGATATTTGATTTAGCCCCATTGACACAGAGCAAATGTTTCAGCAGTTTCTCTGGATGAATTGCTGTGTGAACTTTTTTTATAGATACACCCCTAATTTGTATTATCTACTTTAGATTTTCAGTGTATTTTGTGTATAAAATGCGTTGTTTTGGTAGGATCCATTTCTGTGCATGTGCACGGTCCTGCGAACTGTCCCTTGGGATTTCTGCGTCACTCATCTCTGGAGGCAGCTTGCAGGATCTCGTGCATGCGCAGAAATGGCGCCAAGTCTCTGTCAGGGCCCGCAGTGTGTTTTGACATACGCAGACTGGTCAGGTATACCATGGGGATCTGCCAGGTCCTGTAGACATCGCTTGCGTTGGATATGAATTCAAGATGGCAGCGCAGAAGAGGAGCAGTGTAGGGAGAATTTTCCCTATAAGCAAGACAATGCTGGACTCCATGGACTAGTAAGTATACTTTGCTTACTTTCTACAGGGTTTAAGTTTTAGTATTTAAACCTTTTGGAGTTTGAAGTACTGCTACAGGGCGGCACGACTGCGCAAAATAACACACACATATATATATATATATATATATATATACAGTTGCAAGAAAAAGTATGTGAACCCCTTGGGATTACGTGGAGTTTTGCATGAATTGGGCATAAAATGTGCTCTGAAACGTCATCTAAGTCACAACAATAGAAGAACACTGTCTGCTGAACATAATACTACACAAACATTAGATGTTGCCATGGTTTAATTGCACATAACATGTAAACATTCACAGTGCAGGGAGGAAAAAGTATGTGAACCTTTGGACTTAATAACTGGTTGACCCTCCTTTGGCAGCAATAATCTCAACCAAAAACGTTTCCTGCAGTTGCAGATCAGACCTGCACAATGATCTGGAGTAATTTTGGACCACTCCTTTTAACAAAACTGTTTCAGTGTAGCAATATTCTTGGGATGTCTGGTGTGAATCGCTCTCTTAAGGTCATGCCACAGCATTTCAATCGGGTTGAGGTCAGGACTCTGACTGGGCCACTCCAGAAGGTGTATTCTGTGCTGTTGCAGCCATTGTTTTGTTGAATGACTTGTATGCTTTGGGTCATTGTCCTGTTGCCTCACCCATCCTCTGCAGAGCTTCAGTTGGCGGACAGATGGTCGTACGTTTTCCTGCAAAATGTCTTGATAAACTCTGGAATTCATTTTCCCATCAATGACAACAATCCGTCCAGGCCCTGAGGCAGCAAAGCAGCCCCAAACCATGATGCTCCCTCCGCCATGTTTCACAGTGGGGATGAGGTTTTGATGTTGGTGTGCTGTGCCTTTTTTTCTCCACACATAGTGTTGTGTGTTCTTCCCAAACAACTCAATCTTGGTTTCATCTGTCCACAGTATATTTTGCCAGTAGTGCTGTGGAACATCCAGGTGCTCTTTTGCATACTTCAAACGTACTGCAATATTCTTTTTGGACAGCAATGGCTTCCTCCGTGGTGTCCTCCCATGTACTCCATTCTTGTTTAATGTTTTCCTTATTGTAGAT